GTGGAAACAAAACAACTGACAATTGAAGTAGAAAAATTCTTTTTTTTTTTAATGGGGTGGGTAGTAAAAACTTTTGAGTATGGAGCATATTTTAAACTGATCTTAATAAATGAAAAATGTAAGTATAATATGTTTCCAATATCGGAGGCTTATTACGGTCTCAGGAGTCTGGGACACTTTTTCTCTGTCTTCTGGAAAGAGAAGAAAGCCTTATTTCCCCTATCTAAATAATTGCAGGCACGCAGCAGATCAATAAACTATAGCTGGCATAAAGCAATGATTATTTCATAAGGACAAGTCCTTGTGAAATAATCATAAAAGTCTAGACTTGTAGCTGTGACTTCTTTTATAATGACAGCTGATATGAAACATGAATTGCTTTCTTTCCTACAAAGACAACTTTGTAATACCAGATAGAACATTGAAAATGAAATTGTAATAACCGTCCTGAGCCCACCTTGACCTCCACTTTTAAGCTTCTAATTTATGTACTCAATTCAAGTTAAAGAATGTGGAGGTTGTTGATCCTTTCTTCTCTTTTACCCTCCCTGTCTCATGAAGACTTGGCTCAGAGGCTTTAAGGCAGTCGAGGGCACCCTGTCCAGCCAGGTCAGTAATTCCCAAAGACACAGGGAAAGGATAACCCTGTGTGAGCATCTACAATTACCTGAATGAATGGATGGGTGAATAATGTCAAAGACTCTATGAACTTCCTTTCCATCTAAGTCAGGTGATCTTTTTTTTTTTTTTTTTTTTTTTTTTTTTTTTTTTTTTTCTTTTCTGTCTGTCTGGCTTTTGATTCCTCTGCTTTATCTTACCATTTTTTTTTTCTTTTTTTTAGAGGTTTTTGCCTTAGGGGCCATGTGCTTGCTGGTGACAGATAGTGAGAGGAAAGTGAGAAATCACCCAGGGGAGATAGCCACACAGCAATCCTTTCTCCATTCTTCCATTCTTCTCCTGGGGTGTGAGCAAGCGGGCACATGTGTCTGGTGTTATTTTCAAGTGCCAGATCCAGGGCTCGAACCATGGTTGGCCATGTGGGAGTCCAGTGACATAACTGCTATGCTATCTGCTGGCCCCATCTATCTTCTTGTCCTGGGCTGGCCCTTTTCAAGCAGGGACAGAGTGTGATGTCCTTCACTCTCATTTCTAACATGTCTCCTCTACATCTCACACCCATGGTTTTGCCCTTGGTTGTTCTCTACAGCATCTGGGATTGCCTGGAGCCTGCTGTGGCCGCCTTTGAGAAGGGATTATGCAAGCATTGGATAAAGGCTGTAGGAAAATGGATTTATATTACCTGTTTTGCCTGCAAAGTTATAACGCTCTCCATTGAAAACTTTCACATCTTCATTTGATCCTTACCTCAGCATACACTTTGGACATTTTCCAGCTGACATTTCTTTGTTTTTTCAGGGTCCCCTCCCTCTGTAGCTGAGGTTGGAAAGGGAGTACAAGGGGAGTAGTGTGGCTGGGCCCTCTTTGGAGACATAAAGTCTGTGGGTAGTCAGAATTTTGGCTCCTGTGGTTCCCATTCTCTGGTGATATGCCATTGTTATGGTCTAGAACATAGTGAAAAAGTCTTTGTAGATGAAATGATGGTTCTAGGCCTTAAAATAAGGAGACCTCTGGAAGAACCCAATCTAATAACATAAGTCTTTAAAAGGAGGGTTTTTTGTTTGTTTGTTTGTTTGTTTTTTCTTCATTTGTAAGCAGAAGATGCATCAGAAAAGAAAGTGAAAGAGATTCAACATGTAAGAAGGACTTGTCCCACTGTTGCTAGCTTTGATGATGGAAGTGGCTCTACTGGTGTTCTCTAGAACAGAACCAATGGAATGTATATACATACAGAAAGGTATTTGTTATAAGGTTGACAAATCCCAAGACCTACAGGGTGAGTCAATGACTCCAGAAGAACCACTGGGTCTGTGGTTTCAGTCCAGTGGCCAGCAAACTTGAGATCGTGGTGTAGTTTCAGTCCAGTGGCCAGCAAACTTGAGATCCAGGAAGAGCCAATATTTCAGTATGAGTCCACAGGCAGGAAAAAGTCTAAGCCCCAGTTTGAAGGCAGTCAAGGAGGATAAATTCTCTCACTTTGTGGAGGGTTTAACTTCTTGTTCTATTTAGGCTTTCAAATAATGGGATGAAGCCTACCACATTAGGAAGGGCAATCTGCTTTACTTGGTAAATCTACCAACTAGTGTTAATCTCATCTAAAATACCCTGGCAGAAACACTAGGGTACAGGATCAGCAGATGGCATAAATGGTGTGTTCAACCATGGTTCAAGTCCCGGACCTGGCAGCTTGAACTTCTGCCATGTATGTGTGCATGCATGTCCAAAATCCTGAGAGGAGAATGGAGGACAAGAAATTGCAACATTACTCATCCCCCCACAGGGAGTGATTTTTTGCTTTCTGTCTGTCTCTCTGACTCTCTAGTAAGTGCATGTGCTCTATGGCAAAAAAATCTCTCTCTCTAAAAAAAGAAAAAAAAAGAAAAAAGAAAAGAAAAAGCAACACTTAGGATAATGTTTGGCCAAATATTTGGACACTCATCGTCAGTTAAGTTGACCCATGAAATTAACTATCACAAGGACCATGAACCAGGGAATGCAATCAGCTATGAGAAGCTAAAGAGGATGTCTCTCCAATAGCTAGGAAGGAAACGGGAACCTATAATTTACAACAGCCCAAATGAGCCTAGAAGTACATCCTCCCTAGCTATACCCAAGAGGCTCCAAGTAAGAGAGCTCAGGATGGCCAAAAGCTTGATTTTGGCCTTGTGATCCCCAAACCAGAGGAACTATCTAATCCTACTCAGACTTCTGACCTATAGGACTGTGAGATAATACATTTGTGTTGTTTTAATCCACTTGGCTTATAATTTGTTACAGCAGCAACAGAAAACCAATGAAAATGATTATTTTCTCTTTGTAATTTTCCATTTCTCTTTTTGTCATTCAAACAGGAAGTTGGCTCTGTGTTTTCAGGAGCTATGACAGTGGTTGAGAGTGTGCCCAGATCCCCACTGGGCGATTCTTTCTTCCTCTCTCTCTTTTTGGCTCTTTGGCTTTCTCTGGTGAGAGAGAGAGAGAGAGAGAGAGAGAGAGAGAGAGAAGAGACAGACAAAGAGGGAAAGTGTGCCCAGAATTTGCACACCTTTCTGGCCTTTGTTAATCAAATATAAAGTAATAGGGAAAATACATTTCTGAGCTTAGACAGAATGTCTAGATGAAAAGAAACCAGGAGGAGGAAAGGGAAATTGTTTCCTCTAAACCTGAGCTGTCACTGGGTTTGTAGGCAGGAGTTTTGGAGGGGAGAAGAAGAGCAGCTACCGGAGGAATCCTCAGGAACTGGTAGGCAGAAAGGACAGGCAACCTAGAATGAGCTTAGTGTGGACTAGGTGAAGGACCACGACTGGGAGCATTATCTGGAAGTGCAAGAATGACATGAAGCCCTTTCCATGGCTCCTATGTTATTCCTACATTGTCTCTTCATTTGCCTGAAGACCTGAAGGAATGAGCCCAAAGTCTTCCTGAACTAGGAGTGATGTAGTCAACAATCTCAGCACTTTACAGTAACAACATTTCTGCCTCTACCCAGTGTCTTCCTACACCCAGGGGCTTATAGGGGGACTTAGGAAAGTCTCCCAAGCACAGGCTTTTTGGTCTCCCCTATCATGGCCAGTCTCCTTGGCTTCCATCCTGCTAAGTGCGATGATTCGCTTGGTGCTGCCAGTTCACAGTTCTACGTGTTCCCAGTGGGAGTCACTCCTGTTCTCCACCCAGCACGCTGTGCTCATTTCAGGCTCCAGCAATCACTTCAGCAGGGAAGGATCCCTCCGTTCATGTCCAGCACATTGGTCACACACCCTACAAAGCAACAGCACCTCCTGACTTTCTTCTATTTACAGAAATATCATAAAGCAGGCCACCACATATTTTAATAACCAAATCAGGTCACTTTTAAAAAGTAATTATTTATTTAATTTATTATTATGATTATATTTTAGTTTTTGGTATAGGGCATATGCACTCACCAGAGAGAGACAAAGAGAGAGAGAGGGAAAGTGAAAAGTAAGCTGCCAGGTCCAGGACTTGAACTGCAGTTGGCCATATGACAGTCTAGCTCCATTATCACCAGGCCACCTGCTGGCCCCCAGGGCACTTTTGATAATGAAAGAACAGTGCTATTAATAATCATGCCAAGACAATGGGTATGTAAACCAAGCTCATTCCAGAGAAATCAGGAGGTATGGTCAACCCAGAATATATCTGTTTTTTTTGTTTTTGTTTTTTTTTCCTTGGGCAAAGTCTCTACTCTCCAGTATCCTGTGATGGGGTCCTCACATGCCTTAAATGGGGATGTGTTTGGGGGGATGGGCTGTGCATTGCGTGGTATATTGTATTCCAGATATCCTCTCCCCTCCTTGTTGATGCTTTGTTCATTGGACCATACTGGCTTGTCTCATTTTCCCTTCTTTTAGGTTGAGGTTTTTCCCTGGAAAGGATAATAGATAGGCCCCTCAAGCAGACAGGTTCATGTCAGATGACTCCCATGTCTTTCATGCAGACCTGCATGGGCCTGGACTCAAGGCTACACATAGCTCGTACTGTCAAGCCTTGGGATTGTGCTTTGCCAAGGTACAGTCACACCACTCAAAACTAATTGACCCAGAACCATAATCCAAGTCTTTTGGATTCCATTCAACACCATGAAGATATGGGGGAACTTTAGCATAGACTCCGGAGGGTCATACCTATCATTTTTGACCAGGCCAGAACTAGAGTCTTAAAGTTTGCTCCTAGACACTTTATGACTCTCATATCCCAGAGAAACTTGAAGATCGAGTCCATATAGCTATCCAAAAGTTCAGAAAAATAAAATGTAACCACTTTAGAAGTTACTATGAAAACGAAGCAAAGAAGAAAAATTTAACCTAAGCTAAAATGTGTTAAATGAGAAACTAAATTAACAGTTTTCTAGCCTGAATACTCACATCATTGATCACAGGAAAGGCAGCATTTTCTTGATGGTGGGGAGAAGACTAGAGTTTGGAACCTGGACCTTAAGACCTTCTGTCTCTACTGTTGTGTCTCCACCGAGCTTTGTTTGAATCTCCTGTGTGGGCGGAGGACACTGATGTCTGTGTACTCTGCAGAAAGAGTCACACATTCCGATTTTATTGCCATAAAATGATTAGGTATAATGTTGTAAGGTAAGGTCAGACAATATTGCAGCTTCTCCTTCTCTCTTTTTGAGAGCCAGTTTATTAAGTTAAAAAAGGGAAGAAATGTGCCTTCAAACAAACAGACTAAATTAGACCTTTCAAAACACTTGTCATTAAGAAATGGTTTGTTGAAACTTCAGACAGGTTAAACGTATGCCACAATTTGAGTGAAAAAATTAGCTTTCTGGGGTTGCAATTACAACCCTACTTAGTTGCCATGGTGATCGCACAGCATATGGATTTTGTCAGATAAAGACATCAGGGGTGGTGAGAAGGGACAGTGTATTTTTTGAATCACCACATGCCAAGTGTCAACTCTTTGACAGTTCGCTTGCAAAAAATTTTTAAAAAATTTTTAAAGAAAAAAACTGTATCTGGATCGGGAAGGGGGTAATGGAGAGGAACAAGGCTTGGAGACTAAAAAGGGAAGATCAGTAGAAATGTTTAAAGAAAATCTGAATTTAAAATAACTTGAACATTAATGGCAAATTGTGTAATAAGGGCTCCTTCGGGATTTAATGCTAGAAGCATCTATCTACCAAATATATTCCAATAATGGTGGTCAATCTGTTCCAGTTTTTCCTCTTATTTTTATATACCATGTCATTTTTAATGCTCCTTCCTCTATTTCTACTGTGTATGCTTCTAGTGTTATTTTTGTTAATGATCTTGTTGATCTCATGGGCCAACATAAAAACGAGAAAATAAAATCCCTATACTGGGCCAGCCTGGTGGCCAGTGGTGAAGGGAACCAATTCTATATGACTGGTTGTGTAGGTCAACTCTCAGCCTCAGTAGCTTGTAAAACACACTGTGTGCTTATGTTATGTGAGCCCAAAAATCCAAAAGGAGGAATAAAAATGGAGAAGAGATTATAGTATAACCATTGGGGGGTTCTCTCTCCCTATCTCTCTATCTCTCACTGATGAGAGTAAATTAAAAAAACAAAAGAATGCCTTATGCTGAAGACAGTGTTTTTTTTTTTTTTTTAGTTTTTAGTGTTTTACACTTTTTGTTATAGAGGACGTGCACTCCATGAAAAGAGACACACACACAGAGAAACAGTGAGAGAGAAAGCTAGAAATCACTCTTCTTCCTCAAGGAGGTATGGCCATGTCACAATCTCCCTCCTCCATTTTCCTCCAAGGATTTTGGGCACACATGCACAATTGCCTGGCATGATTTTAAGTTGCCAGGTTCAGGACTCATACCATATTGGTCATGTAGAAGTCCAGTGCTTTAACCAATATGCCACCTACTGGCCCTGAGAGTGGATTCTAAGATGGGAAATCACGTTAAATACATTTATTCTTGCAATAAGAACAAACAGGGACCAGCCAGTGGTGTAGTATTTAAGAGGGTTGGACCCCACATGGCTGACTTCGCAGTTCAAGTCCTGGACCTGATGACTTAAAAAACATACTGGGCAAGCGTGCCTGCCCAAAATCCTGAGTGAAGAATGAAGAAGGGATTGCAGTGTAGGCATTCACCCCTAGAGGGCTGATTTTTCTCTCTCTTTCCTTCCTTCCTTCCTTCCTCCCTCCCTTCCTTCCTTCCTTCCTCCCTCCCTTCCTTCCTCCTTCCCTCCCTCCCTCCCTTCCTTCCTTCCTTCCTTCCTTCCTTCCTTCCTTCCTTCCTTCCTTCCTTCCTTCCTTCCTCTTTCTCTTTCTCTC